GGGGGGGGCTTTTGAGGAGGACCCTCTGGGGGGTTGGGGGGTTGAGAGAGGATGGTGGGTTGGAGAAGCAGTTTCTGAAGCTGCTGCCTGAAGACTTTCTGCTGGGCCAGGGACGAGGCGTGTCTGGAGGCTTCCTGGGAGGGAAGAGGAACTGGGTGTGCGGAGGTGGAGGGAGGGCTGAACCCTACGTGCTCCCTTCCCCAAAGGGTCAGCCGGAGCAAATCAGGAAGATCTCCATGTAAGGTGAGTCTTCTGAGTTGATTCTTTGAGAGTGGTGGTTCTTCTTCTTCCTCCTGATCTCCTCCTTTTACTCCTCTTCCATTTCTATCCTTCTCCTTCTTCTCTCTGTGGTCTGTTTTCTCTTCTTTTCTCCTCTCTTTGTCTATCCTCCTTCTCTCCACAGTCCTGCTCCTCCTCCTGCTCCTCCTCTTCCTTCTGTATCTTCTCTTTCTCCTTGCTTTCCTCCTGTTCCTTCTCTTCTTTCTCCTCCTCCTCTATCTCCTCCTCCTCTACCTTCTCCTCATCTTCCATCTCCTCATTTTCCTTCTGTATCTTTTTTTCTCCCTGTCTTCTTCTTTTTCCTTCTTCCTCCTCCTCCTCTATCTTCTTCTCTTCCTTCTGTATCTTTTCTTTCTCTTTCTTCCTCCTGTTCCTTCTCCTCTTCTTCCTCCTCCTCCTCTTCCTTCTATATCTTTTCTTTCTCCTTGTCTTCCTCCTCCTGTTCCTCCTGTTCCTTCTCTTCTTCCTCCTCCTCTTCATTCTGTATCTTCTCTTTCTCCTTGTCTTCCTCCTCCTCCTCCTCTATCTCCTCCTCCTCCTCTATCTCCTCCTCCTCTATCTCCTCCTCCTGTATCTTCTCTTTCTCCTTGCTTCCCTCCTGTTCCTTCTCTTCTTCCTCCTCCTCCTCTACCTTCTGTATCTTTTCTTTCTCCCTGTCTTCTTTTTCCTTCTTCTCTTTCTCCTTCTCTTCTATCTTCTTCTCCGTCTGTATCTTTTCTTTCTCTTTGTCTTCCTCCTGTTCCTCCTCCTCCTCTTCCTTTTATATCTTCTCTTTCTCCTTGTCTTCCTCCTCCTGTTGTTCCTCCTCCTCCTCCTCCTCCTTCTGTATCTTCTCGTCCTCTTCCTCCTCCTCTCTTCTCCTCTTCCTCCTTCTGTATCTTTTCTCTCTCTCCTTGTCTTCCTTCTCTTCCTTCTCCTCTTCCTTTCATTTTCACTTCAGTCAAACAGCGTCATTACACCCACAGTCCTCGGCTTATGACCATCATTGGGATCTGAATTGCTAAGCGAGGCAGGTGTGAACTGACATTACCCCTTATTTTTTCCCATGGTTGCTAAGTGAATCCTACAGTTGTTGAGTGAATTGTGCTATCCTTAAGCGAATGGGAAGATACCTGGGATGCCTGCAAAAGGAGGAGACCCCATGCACCCCTGGGAGTTTGCAATCATCGTCCAGCTGCCAATCACCCAAATAGTGATCATGTGATGGTGGGCAGGCTGCGACAGTCATAACTGCGAGGACCAGTGTTAAGTCCCTTTTTTTTCCAGTGGCGTTGTTAGCTTGGAATGGTCGTTAAACAAACGGTGAATCCCTGGGGTTGTTAAGTTAGTCACACGTTCGTTAAGCGAATCTGGATTCCCCCCCCCCCCCACTGACTTTGCTCATCAGAAGGTTGCGAAAGGGGATCACGTGACCTTGCGGGGACTCTGCAACCGTCATAAGTACGAGTCCGTTGCCAAGCGTCAGAAATTTGATTACGTGGCCCCGAGGATTCTGCAACCGTAGTAAGTATGAAAAGCAGTCACATTTTTTCAGAGGCGTTGGAACTTCGGACGGTCACTAAATGAATGGGCTGTATGTTCACAGACTGGTTTTTTTGCCTGTAACCTGTTAAAGGAGCAATTTTACCCTGCGGCTAAGGGACCTCAGAGGTCATCTATCGCAACCCCCCCCTCCCTCAAGACCCAAATTTCATTTTAATGTAGGAAATTTCATTTTAATGTATGCCGAATAGCGTCCATTCAAAGTGACAATAAAATAAATTTATTCTAATCCAGTGATGGCCAGCCTGAGACCGAGAATGTCCAAAACTGCAACCCAAAACCCACTTATTTATCGCCAAGTGTCAACTTGGCAATTTAACCTGAATAATGAGGTTTTACTACCTAAAATAATGATAAAACAAGGCAGAATTCAGCTAATTGTTCTAAGAAAAACGTGCAAATTCCACTTTTATGCCCCTTCATTATTTCCTCTGCTTTTGAAATATTACATTTAGCAACAATAAAAAATTTTAACTTTTGTAATATCATTTCTCGTTCCCTCCCTCCCTCTTTCCCCCTCTTTCTCTCTTTCACTCCCTCTCTTTCTCTTCCTCTTTTCCTTCCCCTCTCTGTTTTTCTCTTTCCCTCCCTCTCTTTCTATTCCTCCCTCTCTTTTTCTCCCTTCCTCTCTCTCTGTCTCTCTCTGTGTCTCTTTCCCTCTCCTCTCTTTCCCTCTCTACCTCTTTCCCTTACTCCCTCTCTGTTTCTCTCTCTCCTGCCCCCTCTATTTCTCTTTCCCTCCCTTCTCCCTCTTTCTCTCTCTCTCTCTTTCCTTCCCTACCTCTTTCCCTCCCTTCCTCTTTCTCTCTCTCTCTCTCTTTCCTTGTCTACCTCTTTCCATCCCTCCCTGTTTCCCTCTTTCCCTCCCTCTCTTTCTATCTATTTCTCTCTGTCTCTCTGTGTGTCTCTTTCCCTCTCTCCTCTCTTTCCCTGTCTACCTCTTTCCTTCCCCCTCTCTTTCTCTCTTTCCCACCCCCTCTATTTCTCTTTCCCTCCCTCTCTCCCTCTTTTTCTCTTTCTCCTTCACCTTTCTTCACCTCTCTTTCCCTCCCTTCCTCTCTCTCTCTTTCCCTCTCTACCTCTTTCCCTCCCTTCCTCTTTCTCTCTCTCTCTTTCCCTCTCTATCTCTTTCCATCCCTCCGTTTCCCTCTTTCCCTCCCTCTCTTTCTATCCCTCTGTCTCTCTCTGTGTCTTTCCCTCTCTCCTCTCTTTCCCTGTCTACCTCTTTCCTTCCCCCTCTCTGTTTCTCTCTTTCTTTCCCATCCCCTCTATTTCTCTTTTCCTCTCTTTCTCTTTCCCTCCCTCTTTCCCTTTTTTTCTCTTTCTTTCACCTCTTTCTCCCCTTTCTCTTTTTCCCTCCCTTCCTCTTTCTGTCTGTCTCTTTCCCTCCCTCCCTCTGTTTCTCTTTCCCTCCCTCTCCCTCTTTTTCTCTTTCTCTTTCACCTTTCTCCCCCTCTCTCTTTCCCTCCCTTCCTCTCTCTCTTTCCCTCTCTACCTCTTTCCCTCCCTTCCCCTTTCTGTCTCTCTTTCCCTCTCTACCTCTTTCCCTCCCTCCCTTCCTCTCTCTCTCTCTTTCCCTCTCTACCTCTTTCCCTCCCTCCCTGTTTCCCTCTTTCCCTCCCTCTCTTTCTATCCCTCTCTCTCTGTCTCTCTGTGTGTCTCTTTCCCTCTCTCCTCTCTTTCCCTGTCTACCTCTTTCCCTCCCTTCCCCTCTCTGTCTCTCTTTCCCTCCCTCCCTCTGTTTCTCTTTCCCTCCCTCTCTTCCTCTTTTTCTCTCTTTCTCTTTTGCCTCTTTCTCTCTCCTTCCCTCCCTCTGCCTTCCCTTTCCTATTTCCTTCCTCTCCTTCTCTCTTTCCCTCCCTCAATGGAGCTGGGCTGGGGTCACGGCGTGCGTCCCCACAGACAGGGTGGGGTTCTGAGTGCCAACTCGGGCACCTGTGGCATAGGTCTTATCCACCACTGTCTTATCTATACCATTCCATATACAGATGGGCATCTATTGCCCTGGCAAATGCTGGGAAGGGGAAAACTGGGTCAGAAATCGCACCCAGGCCTTTCTCCCAGCTCTCCAAAATACGGGCAACCTCGCTGGCTGGCTGAGCTACTTGATTTACACCAAGGTGGAGAACGCTGCGTAAAAGATCCCCAAGGCACCCCAGGCTTTGTAACTACACGCCTGAGTAATTAATCATGAAGGAAAGAGGGGCGTTGAAACTATGCCAGGGCACAGGAAGAGGGTGAGGTCTAGAAACTTAAAAAAAACGCCTTGCCTAATTAAACGGGTTGCGTAAGGCCCCGTTGCCCCACCCAAACCTTGAAGGTTTCCAGCTTTGATGGGCTCCAGCTAATCTTCAACTTACAACATTTAATTTACTGACCGAAGTGAAGAACGACACGGAAAAAAACTGTCCTCGCACTTACGACCATTTTTCCGCACTTACGACCACTGCATCATCCCTGTGATCGCAGGATCCAAAATCAGATGCTTGGGGAAAAACCGACTCACAATCCGTCCTCGCACTTACGACCGTTTTTCACACTCACAGCATCCCCTTGGTCATGGGATCCAAATTCAGACGCTTGGCAACTGGTTCATATTTACGACGGTCGTAGTGTCCTGGGGGGGTGGGGGTGTCACATAATCTCCTTTTGCGACCTTCTGGCAAACGAAGTTAAAGGAGGTCAGATACTCAGCAACGGTGTGACTAACTTTAACAGCTGCAGTGATTCACGTAACAGTTGTGCAAACAGACAGGAATCACAATTTTCCACACCTTGTCGTAAGGTGCATTCATCCCGTTTGTAGATTTCTGAGGTTGTGGATGCTACGTTTTTAAAAGAAGGCCAGGAAATAGAATTGTGTTGGTTCACTCTTTGTGGGTCCAGTGTGCTTTCAAAAGTTGTTGAGGGGGAAAAAAAGAGAGAAAATACCCAAAAGTTTGCAAACTTTCAAAATGGGCCAGCCCATTCAAACCAAAACTGTACAAGAGGTTGTGTTGTTAATGAAGACACAATGTCACACACACACAAATTGCCATTCTTAACACAACTGTCAATTTGCAATGATGCCTTTGATGTGTACTCAACACCCTTTCCCCACAGCCCAAAACCTTCCTGCTACAATTAGCCCTCGACTTACGAACATGAAATTTCCATTGATAAGCAAGGAGGTTGTTAAGTGAGTCACACCCAATTTCCCAACCTTTGGTGCCGCTGTTCTTAAGCAAATCCCTGCAGTTGTTAAGCGAATCACACCCCGATTTTAAAAAACTCTTTCCCCAAGGTTGTTAAGCGAAACATTGCTGTTGTTAAGTGGATCGGGTGGTCATTAAGTGAATCCAGCCTCTCACATTGGCTTTGCCAGAAAGTTGCAAAAGGGAATTACGTGACCCCGGGAGGCCACAACCGTCATAAATACATGCCGATTGCCAACTGCCCAAATTTTGATTACATGGGGAATCCTGTGATGGTCGTAAGTATGAGGACTGGTTGTGTCGCGTTTTTTTCCAGGTTGGCCACATATGGAAGGGGGAGAATTGGGTTCAAAGTCATGTTTTCACCCAGTGTATCCGTATTTGCTTTGCTAGTTGATGTCATTCTGCACACCTGTGAAAAACAGCAAACATAATAATACAGCATTAAAAGCAGATGCCACAGACCATAATCAAGATATCCGGGTTTAATTTACTGACTCACTTGTTTATGTCTCCCCCCACCTGTAGAGAAATTTAAAGATGCCCCTGGCATGGTAGAAGCATTGAGAAGGGATTGGAGAAGGGATTATACAGTCTGGAATTTGATGCCAGTGGAAATAAATTCATAATATACCTGGTTTGGTTTTGTTTAGCACAAGAAATAAGGGATAAACGTGGATTGTTTTTCTAGATATGCCCTGCTCCAATATTTTTCAGCTTAAAGATGTTTGGACTTCAATTCCCAGAATTCCCCAGCCAGCTCTGCTGGGAGTTAAAATCCACCCACCTTAAAACGGAGCCAATTTATCTGAAAGCAGTCTGACTGGGGGGATTCTGGGAGCTGAAGTCCACCTATTTTAAATCATGCTGGCTGGGGGATTCTGGGAGTGGAAGTCCTCCCCTCTTAAAGCATAGCTGGCTGAGGGATTCTGGGAGTGGAAGTCCTCCCCTCTTAAAGCATCCTGGATGGGGGATTCTGGGAGTTGAAGTCCTCCCCTCTTAAAGCATCCTGGCTGGGGGATTCTGNAAAGTCTATAAGTCTATAAGTCTAACTGCTATTGCTAACTGCTATTGCTATTCTTCAAGCAAATGAAGTTACCACAACTGCAAACCACATTATCCATGTAATTTGCATGATGGCTTCATGTCGCCCGCCTTGTGACATTGCGTGGCTTGTCCCCAACCTCGGACTGGCATTTCTGCCAGCTGGAAAACGGGTGTCGCACAACGTGATTTAAGTTTTCATCCATTTCCTTTGTTACTCAAACAAACGTAAAGTTTCTCTTCATGCAAATGCGAAAGGCAGTTTGCAGCGGCTGGGGGAAAAAATGCAATTGGCTAGATTCAAATCAAGGGCCCCAAATTAATTTCAGGATCCCTAAAATAAAAAATTTGTTTACTAAACAGGGGTAAAATAATAGGCAACACTGCACAGCCCTGCATTTACGACTTCTTGTTTAGTGACGACTGTTCGGAGTTTGCAGCAGGAGTGGGGGGGGGGGGAAGGTGACTTACAACCAGGGCTCACACTTACGTCTGTTGTGGCACACACACACCCATAGTCGTGTGATCAGAATTCGGATTCTTGGCATCTGATTCATATTTATGACGGTTGCAATGTCCTGGGTTGACGTGATCCCCTGTTACGACCTTCTGACAAGCAAAATCGAATCGATTCACTTAGCAACCGTGTTACTAATTAACAACTGCAACGGTTTGTTTAACAATGTAGGCAAGAAAGGTTGTAAAATGAGCCAAATCTCACTTAACAACCGTGTTTCTTAGTGACCGGGATTATGTCCATTGCAGCATCCCCATGCACAGTAATCAAAATTTGTATGCTTTGCAACTGGCATTGTTTAAATTGCAATATCCCGGGGTCATGTGCTTTAAGAGGGGCGGACTCCAATTCCCAGAATCCCCCAGCCTGCATGCTTTAAGAGGGTTGGACTTCAACTCACGGAGGTCGCCTGTCAGCTGGCTGGAGATTTCTGGGAGTTGAAGTCCACAAGTCTTAAAANCTACCTACCTACCTACCTACCTACCTACCTATTATCTATCATTTTCTATCTCTTTTGTTCTTTCTTTCTTTCTTTCTTTCTTTCTTTCTTTCTTTCTTTCTTTCTTTCTTTCTTTCTTTCTTCATATTATCTATCTACCTACCTACCTACCTACCTAACTACCTATACATATCTTTTATCTCTATTGATTCCATATGTCTTATATATACATTTGATTCTCTTATATTTCTTATATACTATTTTATATACAATCTATCTTATATTCCCCCCCCCCACTCTCTTGTTAATTCTGCAGTATTTATTTTTTAGTCTCTTAATCTTTTCCCCCCCCTTTATTGCTTTCTTATTTTTCCCTCTCTTTCCTCTAGCCATTTGTACCACAAGTTCCACACTAAATAATACCGAGGTTCCTCTTTGTCTTTTAGTTCTTTTGTGAGTCTGTCCATTTCGGCACAACTCCAGTACTTGTTTTTTTTTTAAATCACCTTTCCTTCTGTTGGCGTATATTTGTTTTTTCCAGGTCTGTTCGTATGTGATTCTTGCTGCAGTGATTACATGTAGTTTTAGGAATTTGATTTCCCCCCCCTCATAGCTCCCTGTAATTATTTCTAATAAGAATACTTTCAGTTTTAATTCTGTTGGTTGTGTAATAATCTCTTCCAGCCAGTTTTTTTTTAAAATTTTTGTCCAGTATTTTTTCTTCAGTTGGGTTCAATTGTGGTCATAAGTCGAGGACTTTCCAATTAGTTACTTAAAAAAGTAGCTGGGCCTCCTTCCAGGGTTTTAATTTGAATTAGGCACAAAATTTCTCAATGTCGTACTTAGCCCACTTCTAAGCCACAGGAAAAAGGATTAAAAAAGACTTTAACTTTGAGGCTAATATATTATCAGGGTTAACATCCTCTCTGACGCATCCACCAGCTAAGCTGCAGTCCTTGACTTAAAACGGTTTGTTTAGTGACCGTTCGAACTGACAACAGCATTGACAAACATGATTTACAATTGTTTTTCACACTTACGACCGTCCTCACCATAAAAATTCAGTCACTTGGCTACCGACTTGTATTTATGACGGTCGTAGTGACAGGGTGTGTGTGTGTGTGTCACGTGATTCCTTTATGTGACTGTCCGACAAGCAAAGCCAATGGAGGAAGCCGGATTCGCTTAACAACAGCCTTACTGACTTAACAATGGTAGTGATTCATTTAACGACCGTGACAAGCAATGGGTCAAAATGCACTTAACAAATGTTTTGCTGATGTTGGTGCTCAATTGTGGTCGTAAGTCGAGGACTACCTGTATACAAGGTCACCAAATTTCCTTTGTTTCTAGGGGATTAAAACTTTTTTCCCAAATGGATCCTTTTATCTTATGGTAGTTTTGATTTTTTTTTATCTTAAAAGCCACTTTGGAGAATGTGAAGTTCTTTTCCCTGTTAAACGACCACTTCCAAGCCATCTGGCATCTGACGGAGGGGAACTACAGGACGTTAAGGGAGACGTACAGCACCTCCGAATCTGTTGGTCTCCCCAACGTATATCTCGTCTGCAAAACGGACTTGTTCCTGAATGCTTATGTCCAGTAAGTACTACAAAGCCCATCCTGTGGAGAGGTGTGGATGCTTGGCCGTTGTTCAAAGTTTTGTTTATTAATTTATCCAAGCATAAAAGATATAAATATTAAGAGGAAGTTTAAACTCAAATAGGGGAAAAAAGGGGGAAGGGAGAAAAAGTGTAGGGAGGAAGGGAAAAGAGGGAAAAAAATATAAAATAAGAATGTTAGAATATAGAATAAAAATATTCACTTATAATATTCTAATTGAATTATAAAATTAAAATAGAGAATAAGAATATTATAACGTTCTAATTGAATTATAAATTAAAATAGAGAATAATATTATAATGTTCTAATTTAATTACAGAATTAAAATAAAGAATAACAATATTCACTTATAATTTAATTGTAGAATTAAATTGTAGAATAACAATATTCACTTATAATATTCTAATTGAATTATAAAATTAAAATATATAATAAGAATATTATAATGTTCTAATTGAATTATAAAATTAAAATATANTGGGGGATTCTGGGAGTGGAAGCCCTCCCCTCTTAAAGCATGCTGGCTGAGGGATTCTGGGAGTTGAAGTCCTCCCCTCTTAAAGCATCCTGGCTGGGGGATTCTGGGAGTTGGAGTCCACCCTTCTTCATCCTTAATCCCACCACAATCCTTCACATCCTAAATATCAATCCCCATCCCTTTCCTCTTTCCTGAAGGTCGTTCTGGTGTGAACCATGATTTGGATCAAGCTGAGTTTCATCCTGGTTTGTTTTTGAAGCGTCCCAACCCTTTTGAAACTCCGGCCCACCTCAGCGTCTCCGCCGTCTCTCCTTTCCCAGCGGGAGTGCCCCCAGGAGATGGGCATCAACGAAGTGGTCTCCTCACTGCTCCGGGCCGAGGAAACTTTCTCGGCGCATCTGGCGCGGATCAACACCGTAGTTCTGAAGCCCGTTCTGGAAACAGGTGGGAAGGAGGGGACGCTGCCTCGGGTTTTGGATCTGCGCTTTGGATTGGGTCACCTCAGGCAGAGCGGGTTCGAATTTACCTCGGGAAGATAACAATCTCGTCCTCGATTTACGACCTGAACTGAGCCCATAGTTTGCGTTGCTCAGCGAGACAGTCGTGGGGCGAGTTCTGCCTAGTTTTACGACCTTTCTGGCCACCGTTGTTAAATGAATCCCTGCAGAATCCCATCATCGCTGTTGTTCAGTTAATCAAACGGTCGTTAAATGAATCTGGCTTCCACTTGTCCAAAGGTCGCAAAAAGGGGATTGCATGACACACACACACACACGCAAACACCCAGGACATAGCAAATGTCGTAGATATGAATTTTGAACACGATGCTGCAACGGTCATAAGCCACTTGAAGGTCACTAAATGAATCATCGTAACTCAAGGATTATCTGTACCCCGCTAATTGTAGATGACGTTAGTGGGTGAACTAGGGAATTTAAGGATGGGGCGGTAGGAAATAGTGTGGAAAAACAAAGCGCCAAATTTAGAGAGGGTGATAATCCATTAATCTTTTTCCTTCATTTTTTTAATTTTTATTTTATTTTTTTTAATATACATTTATAGTCTTTGCAACTTTTCTACATCTTTTAAATATCCATTATGTTTCTTTTCTATACATATATACCTTATACATCTATATCTATATCTAAAACTACCTATCATCCATCCATCTATCTATCTATCATCTATCTATCTATCTATCTATCTATCTATCTATCTATCTATCTATCTATCTATCTATCT